ATCTTTATAAATGTTTTACTTGATACTGTGGCATGTTTATGTTTGTTTTATCCATTATTTTAAAATGAATTTTAAATACTTAAATAAAATACTAGTATTAATGCTGGCATTTGTTATTATACAAAACAAATGCTCAAATTCAGATATTGTAATTTTGCTTTGTAGAAGCACCAAGATGCTTGTTCTATGCCTACCCAATCTAGCCTTCACGTCTTCATTACCTCTACATCACAACTTTTACACTAAAATCTTTATTCCTAAATCTCAACCACCTTCTCTCCATATTGCCTTAAAAGCAGATTAAACTAAATTTCTTTTTTCCTGAAAACTTATTTCAAAGCATTTTTCAAACTATCATACAGTAGGGAAATCCATGTTATAAATTTTACCATGATAAAATCCATGCAATATTATAAAATAATGCCCCCAAAGGGCTATAAATAACATGTCATGTATTTCAGTCTAGTTAGTGTCACTGTGCTTTCTCCTAACTTTTCGGAGTATATATACCCACCGTTTTTCGCCTCAAGCAATTTATTAATGATGTTACTAAGGTCAGCAATTTCAGAGGCTGCAGGTATCGAGAAAGGAACATCATCTACCGCATATCTACAAAAAGGAAACGATAAATCAAGTCTACAGATGTTTTAACAAATGTGCATTTATTCATTCAACAAACATTTATTGGGTATCTAATACATGCCAGACATTTTGCTACATGGGGTTGACAAAAAATGAATTAACCTGTGGTCTCTGTTCTTGGAAAGGGTTAAAGTCTGGTAATCAAATACGAGGAAAGTATGTAAGAACAGTGTCATAAGTAATACATAAAATGGGAGAACAAGGAAGTGGTAGGTCATTTCAGCCGAGAAAAGGGGGCTGGGAGAGCAGAATCTGAAAGGATGCCTAAAAAACATCACTCTTACACTACATCTAGAAAAGTGAGTTTCTGCCAGGTGAAGTGTGGCGAGGCAGAAAGAAGGGGTGCAGGAAAGCAGGGAGAGCAGCAAAAAAAATAGCTAAGAGTTATTAAAGAGCTGCCCACCCAGCTTATTCCAGAAAGTGTTACTTTACTCTAGACAGTGACCAAAGATAAGGCTAAAGAGATGTGCATGGAGTAGTTTAGATGCTCTGTGAAGTACTTTTTACTTCTTTCCCTAGGCAATGGAGGAACCACTGTCTAAGTCAAATAACATCATCAGAATTTTGTTTAGTTAGATCTTTCTTGGCAGCACTGCAGAAACTGGATTACAGGCACACACAACAGGAGGCAGATTAAGAAACTCTTGTGAGAGAGAATGGGAGAAAATTCTTGCAAATCACGTATCTGACAAGGAACATGTATCTAGAATATATAGAGAACATTTATAACTCAATAATAAAGACAACCCTATTTTAAAGACGGGCCAAGGATCGAAATAGACATTTCTCCAGAGAAGGTATACAAATGATCAACAGGCACATGAAAAGATGCTGAGCACTGTTAGTCATAAAGGAAATGCAAATCAAACCACAATGAGATATCACTTCATACCCACTAGGATGGCTACAATAAGAAAGACAGATATTAAGTGTTGGTGAGTATGTGGAGACATTAAACCCTTATCATTGCTGGTAGAAAGGTAAAATGGTATGATTGCTTTGGAAAAATCTGGCAGTTCCTCAAAAAGTTAAACACGGCATTACCACTTGACCCAGCAACTCCATTCGTAAGTATATACCCAAGAGAAATGAACATATATGTTTACACAAAAACTTGTGCACAAATGTTCACACCACCACTATTCCTAATAGCCAAAAGGTGAAAACAACCCAAATGTCCATCAACTGAACAATGGAAACACAACTTGGTATATCCATACAACGGAATATTATTGAGCAGTAAAAAGGAATGAAGTACTGATATATATATCTATATATATCTATATATATAGATATATATATAAAAGCCTTTGCCCCCCCCCCACTCCCATTGTGGCAAAAAGAGATTTATTACAACATGTCTTGATGAGCCCTGTTTTATATATATAGGTATATATATATATATAAAACAACATGGATGAACCTTGAAAAACATCATACTAAGTGAAAGAAGCCAGTCACAAAAGACCACGTACTGTATAATCCTATTTATATGAAATGTCCATAACAGACAAATCTATAGAGACAGAAAGTAAATTAGTGATTGCCTTGGGCTGGGGGGATTTGGAAGTATTTGGGTGTTGGGGGAGGGAGTAACAGCTAAAGGATGATGAAAAATGTTCTAAAATTTACTGTGGTGATGGTTGCATAATTCTGCAAATACACTCAAAACTAGTGAATTGGACACTTAAATGTGTGAATTCTATTGCACATGAATTACATCTCAATAAAGTTGTTACAAAAAACAAAAACAAAAAAGTCTTCATAAGGTCTGAATTTAGGCTATATTTGTGGGGAATGTAAAAGTTTCAAAAGATGTTAAGGTAGAACTTCCAGGGCTCACCAAGACATGCTATGATAAGTCTCTTTTTGTCACAATGGGAGAGGGGGATGGAGGTTTCAGATCTTGCTAAAATGTAGATTCTAAATCAGCAAGTCTGAGGTACAGTCTGAGATTCTGCTTTTTGTAACCAGCTCCCAAGTGATGATAATGCTGCTGGTCTGCAAACTACACTTTGAGTAGTAAGGCTATAGTTATATATTTATCATGCTGAAAAAAGTAAAAAGTTATTTAGGTTCTCCAAAAGATAACAAAGCCTAGAAATTGAAAGTTTTGGTTTACTATGATATTTTGGCCAGTAAGATGAGTAGGGAAATGTAGCATAATTACATACTCATATATGAAGATACATGCATATGTAAATTATACACATATACATGAATAAATCTACTTTCCCCCCTCCTTTTACTGATGAGAACGTATTGCGTGAAAGGAAGAAGCGAGAAGTTTAATTTCTAGGTTTTGTTACCGTTTTGGAAAACCTAAATATATAAACACAAACACACATACACACATATGATGTTTATCCATTTATCACAGGAGTTAAAATACAGTGCTCTAATATTTCTTAAAACTTCATGTGAATCAACAATAATCTCCATAAAACTTTTAATTAGAAAAAATACAGTGATCATGCTATTCCATTACCATATTCCTTTAGAAGCATTTCGACTAAGTATAAATACTCATCAGTATTGATAATACAATTTAAATGTACTGTAAGCAACAATACAAGAGGAGTGAATATGATGTACCAGGTCAACACATAAAGCTACAAACACAGAATCAAAAATATAATCTTAATTGAGGTGGGAGTTTTTTAGTTTATAGCTGATATTAGCTTGTTAATACAACAAATATTTATTATTTATCATCAGTTCCAGAAGAACTTGACAAACATTTGTTGACTCAGTCAATCCAAGAAGCATAACATAGTCTCTACAATCAAGAGGCTTACAATATAGTTGAAGAGACCAGGCGAAACAAAAAAAAGTTAATTAATAGTGTAATATACGCCACAAAGCAGAATATAATTAGGTTTCAAATGATTGCTACATACCTGGGGACCATTTGTAAAACTGGTAAAATGTTTACATACATATGGGTATACACATACAGATATATATATATACACACGTATACGTGTAGATTTATCTATATAAATACACAAATCTGTAACTGAATTGACTTCACACTCATCAAAAACCAGTTCTACCAACTCCCTATTGAGAGCTCCACCTTCTAGCCTGGTTTAGAAAAGCATCGTCTATCACCTACGTAGGAAAATGAAGTTGTGTTTTCAGACACTGTGAAACACCACTAAGCAGACAGCCTATAACGACTTAGTCCGTTGTTCACTGTTCAATTACATAATGCACTTCATTCAGGAAGCAAACCTGAAGCCCTTCAGGTCCCTCTACACTCACAATTCAAATTATATACAGCCTGAGTCTAGGCAAGAAGGCTCGGTGATCCTTGAGAAATCCTCGCAAGGTACCGCTTCCATTTGAGCGAAAACTCGCTCAAGCGAGGAATCCAGCCAAAAAAAGGGAAAAAGTGAATTGGTAGCAAAGATAACCAGGGATGCACAAGGTCATACCGGAGTGGTCTTTTGAAAGGATCCCGGGGCTGGGGGGCGGGAGGCGGGGGGGGGGGGAAGGAGAGGAGGGGAGAGAAAGGGAGTACGCTTACTTACTTCTTGTTGTCAGTGAAGAAGCGTGTCTGGAGCTGAGCCATGGCTTGCCTACAGAAACGTATGGGTAACAGACAACCGGCGCTTTGGCCTCTCAGGACTGCAAAAAGAGGCAGCTCAAAGTTAGACCGCACGTGTCAGAGAAAAGCATTAGTCGAACACTGGGCTTCCGCTTTCTTTCCTCGGGCCTCCTCAGCCAGGAGGCACCACGAGGCTTCTCTTCCACAAGGCCCAGCCCACAAACATCAACTACCTATTCCTAGATTTAGGAGTCATCGATTAGTAAAGCATAGTCTTAAAGGCGGCGCGTCCCTTTAATCTGTATTTTTAAAAAATATATTTAAGCTTACAATCGATTGTGAAGATACAGAGAGGCCCGATTCAAATAGGCTTCTCCTCTCTCTCTCTTTTTAAATTTTAACAGGTTATCCTCAGTCCCAATAATTCAAACACAGCTCCTAGATACTACAACCCCCAGAAAGCAGCGCTTCTCACACACTGTAACCACTGGGTATTGTAGTCTTTTTTCCCATGCTGCCCTTAGGCTATCTTATTTGCATTAAGCCTTCCCGACTCCAGCCAAATTATCTATTATATTTCCTCTGCCTTCAGCTTTAATTCACTAAAGCCTTTCCGGGTTTACTTTTTCAAGCATACTCCCAATCAGACTCTCAGGCTACCGAGATTTTTCTTGGGCTCTCGACACTAGCTTCAGGCTTTAGATCCAGGTGAGAGGCGGGGATACGAAAAAAAGAACGAATCAGAAGGAAAACTAGCGACGGTGGCTGATAGTGGTCTTATCTCAAGCGACTGCGCTGCGCGATCCCGGAGGGGCGCGTCTGCGCATTGTGCTGGTCTCCATGGCGGGGCCTCGGAGCCAAGACGAGGTTGAGTAGACTCGTTTTGAATTTTCTCCCCTCTGCTCCAGCACTTTGTGGACTTCCCTTCTCGCCCTGTAGGGTGCTCGGCGGCGGCGGGACTGAGGGAGTCGGAGGTTTGGCAGAGCTGTCCGCGCCGACGGACGGGAAGCTGCTTCCCAATCCCCCTTTCTTCCTGCTGCCTCCTCCTCCCGTCACCTCCTGACCCGCCCGGTCCCTGAGCAACCGCCGGCCCCCGCCCCTTGCCGCTGACGGGCTTTGGTGGCGCCTTTCGCGCCCCGCCTCGGGCAGTATTCGGGGCCCCTCCTGACGAGGCCTACCGTCCCCCGCCCGGACGGGGTCCGCGGGCCCCGAGCCGGCAGGCTGGAGAAGGTGGAGGTTAGGTGTCTTAAGGAGGGCTGCTGAGCACAAGGGCGCACAACCACGGAGGAGGACTCGGACCCCCTGGCCAGGAGCGCCCGCTGTGTGGTCCTATGTGCCGCCCCGCATTTTAGGGTTCCTTTTTTCTCTTTATGAGCCCCTTTATACCTTCCTTTTAGAAGGGGAAAGGCGTCCTCCCACACCTTCTCCCAACGCTTTTTGACTTTTTTTTTTTTCGTCTTGAAGTTACCCAAAGGCCTATGTCTTATTCTCAAAAGGTCCCGAGAATAATTCTAATGGAATTTAGTTGTTTTTTTGAGGGAGGATGGTTGGAGAGATACTACTCAGCTCTCCTAGTCACTTTTTAAGCCGTTCGCCAGAAATCTTTCAAGAGGGGGACTTCTTAAAGAGACGGCAGTTTAGAGTAAGGCAGAACTGGATTGCAGAATTTGGGGCAAAGCGGTATGTGTGCAGGTGAAGACAGCTAAAGCTTTCCTTTGTTACGTTGCTTCAAGATGTACAACAGTTAAGTAGACATATGATATTTAAGTCAACCATAGATTATGAGAAGGGATATAAACAATTGTAAACGTAAAATAATCTGTTAATAGTGCGCAGTGACAATGAAACTAAGACTATTTTCAATTTATTCACCTTCTTAGAATGCAGGCCGTGGAACCCGAATGCCTGGGTTCGAATCCTGCCTCAGCTGCTTATTTATTAGCCTCTCTGTGCCACACCTTCGTCAACTGTGAGATTAAGTGCCACATAGTAGATGTTAACTGTTTTTACCATCGTTATCCTTTAGATGTCAGTTTAACTGGGAGCTATGGCAACATGAACAAGTAAGAAAGACTAGCTTAATGGTTAGAGGAGTAAAAAGAGAAAACCTCTGTGCTGAGGGCCTAGGAAAGGGTTGGGCTTGCAAATAGAAGCCATGGTTATTTAACCATGTGATTCATTGTAATTGTGAGAATTGTATGCATAAGTTAGACCACCTGAAGTTTGAAACACTTTTTTTCTCTTTCTTAATTGAAGTCTTGTTATTTAATCCATATTTTTTGAATTTGGTAGAAGTAAAAAGAAATTTGACAGTTTCAAACATCCTTTGCTTTTAATCATAAGTAATTTTTGAGTTACAGCAGTAAAATTGTCTGAATTAAAATTCATAGAACCTGAAATAAAACTTCTAATAGGTTCTTCAGGTAATTTTTAATATATCGTTGGTTAAAATATATTTTTAAATGTGTAATCAGTAGATTAATTCATTTTTAACTATCATTAATTTGAAATTTATCAAAATAAGAAAATACTGTACCTGATATTCAATACAGGTTGATCCTAATTCGAATGGAAAAATTTTCTCTGATCAGTAAGATACAAAACTTAAATATGTGCTTAATAAGATAAAACTTCAATTTACAAAGCAGAAATGTTGAATTCACTAAAATACTCTTTTCATTTGACTGAGACCTTTAGTTAAGGGAAAATTAGTTAACAAGCATTCCAAGATACCTGAACACCTAGTATGATGGCTTTGGTGTTTTTTCAACAGTGGCTTATGTGTTGTATTTCGTGTTCCCTCTATGTAATACCTAAGAGTAATTAGTATTTTTACTCTGAGTGTTTTTCTTAACTTTGCTTAGAACATTAACTTCAAGCTTTTGGTTCTAATGATTTCCTACATGATTCATTTACTAGGTTTCTTACGAAGACGCGTTATCTGGAGAACTACAGCTTGGAAAATGTTTCTCTTTATTATAGGTTTTTTTTTTCTGTATGTAATGGCATGGTGTAGTATGATATAAAGACAGTGCATGGGCTTTGGAGTCCTAATTGGTTTTGGTGATTTTTTCCTACTTAGTTTTGAATCTGAGCCCTAATGTTCTGTGATCTTAACCAAGTTACTAGACAGCTTTGGTTTTCTTATCTATAAATAGATAATAAGCTCTACCTTAGAGTCATTGTGAGGATTAAATGAAATAATTTGTAAATCCCTCAAAGAGCAAAGAGGTAAAAAGAGGTATGTATGTACAGGGTAAGAAATGGGTAGAAACCAAGATTACAGGGAAGTTTATAGAGAGTGCAAACCTTAGATAAAGGAAAAGAGACATTGTGAACACTAACTTAAAATTTTTTTCACTGAAAAATGAAAAGTTGAAGTAGATTGTTTATATATATTTGCATACATTTAACATTTTGATGTTGATTTAACTAACACAATACAACTTGCAAAACCCATCTTTTAAGAAATAAATTACTCTATAAAATATTTGTGAATTAGGAGTCTTGATTTAATTTTTGACACCACTGATTCATAGCAATTTTGTATACATCATAGAAGGAACATTGTGTTGTTTACCTACCCTAAAAGATGAGGGAAATTTTATTTTCTAAAGTACTTTTGAGCAGTATTTTTTGTAGTTAATAAGGTCAGACACTGATTTTAAATATAAGATTTCAATATCCTTTAAATCTTGAGACATTAACCAAAGTGCCTAGAATTAAGAGAAACTCTAAACTTCAAGTGGCTTCATCCTTCAGTTAGCCTGTTTGGGGATTTACTCTTAGATTATTGGTTTTAACAGATAAATTTTACCACACAAAAGTCTATCGGGAAAACTAAAAAAATCAAATATTAAGACAATTTTTAAGAAATTACAGCTGAGAATTACCTTTAATGTTTTGAACAAATAGATTTGCTGTTGAACAAAATCAAAAAACAGCAGTAGCCCCAACTTGGTCTACAGAGATTTGAGTAACTACAGCCTGACTAGTGTGTTCCCCTCTGCCATGTATTCAATATGTATAAACAATAAAAGCCCTTTTTTGCTATAAATTAAAACATTGAACTTCTAATTCTTCCTAATCTTTGCTTTTGGTATAAGGTAAAATTCACTTTTTAAAATGTGATGTGAAACATTCTAGAAAGCAGTTTGCCAGCAAAATTTAATGGCATTAATGTGTTTTCTGAACTCCAATTATTACTAACCCTCTAGGTTATATATTTAATGCTTTCTCTTTTCTTTCTGTTCTCTTTATCCAATCCCAATACTACTTACTTAAGAAATAAGCTTATCAATTTAATTTTAGGATTTTATAGGGGATGGGATATGAGGAGGGAAGCCCTTATTCTCAAGCTTCTATGGCTCCAAAATATGTTCAATTAATAAATATTTTCATTGTGGAGAAAAATGCAATTTACTGTGGACGTTTTTGCTTCTGTAGTAGTTACAGAATGTGAGAGTTGAAACAAGGCCTTAGTCCAAATCCCCAACACAGGTTAAGTCACCAACCCCTGGACACATGCAGTCTTCCATAAAGACAGTCCTAGTCTTTACTTCACTTTAACCGAGTCAATTGCTGGGTAAACTATACCAGGCTGGTAATGGCTATTTTATAGTAAAACCTGCAGAACAAAATCTAGTAGCTTGCTTTATGTGTTGGAAAATAAATATACATTGAATACCTTCTCATTACAGAAAAAATGCTGCTGTGAAGACATAATTATAGCTTTCACATAACTGAAGCCCCAACCATCATGATTTAGTGCCCCCCAAAGGAAGAACTTCAGTGGAAAAGAGAGGGCATTTCTGGGGATAGTAGAATGCTTGAGACCTGAATTTAAACTCAAGCTCCTTCATGAAGGTAATAATTTTATTTTTAACTGATAGAAAGTAACGGCTCTATAAAAGTTAACTATTGTCTATTACATATTAATGAAAAAGTCAAGTTACACTTTGTATATAGGTACTTTGTTCCGTTTATGGTTACCTGTTCGAAAAGAATATTTTATACCTAGTTATTTAATCTTAATATCTACATTCTTTGGAACTTTACTTTGACATAGTTAATTGAAAGTTAGTGATAATAATTTATAGCATGCGCTGACATTGAGGTTAGGTGGGAAAATTGGGTATTTTAAGTCACCTATAGTTGTCAGGATTGAGGAGTGTAATGCAAATTGATGGAAGACTTAGGGGAGGAAGGAGTAATACTTTTCACTTCATTCAAATTATTTTTTGAAAAGGATGTCTGTAACTTAAAAATGTACTTTTAATCTCCAGTTCAACAATGAGTTAGGTCAACAGATATTGAAACCCGCCTTTCCATATAATAAACACTAAAACCTTGTTTAACACATAGTATAGAGGTACTGCATACTGAAAGGAAAATTTTGAGTTTTCAATTTCCAGGAGATAGTAGGAAAGAAGTTCTCTTTCTTCCATTTGCAGATTCCCAGTCTGGGCAAAGTTCTGAAGTAAGTGGTTTATATTTGGCAAGCTTCCTGTGTTATCCCACCCCTTCACTAGTGAACTTCCCCAGGGCATTCATCCTGCCTTCCCTGTTCACTGCAGCATCTACCTCAGGTGCTCTGAGCCTCAAATGCACCTATTAGAATGGATAGAGGTTGCATTCTAAGTTAAACTTTTCGGGGTAGCTGTTTTTAACTCATCTTAAAGGAAGAAAACTATATTTATATAAATTTGCACAAATTTGATAATGACTGATAATCTCTCCAGAGTTTTTTCTTTTTAAGAAAAAATGCTTGATAACTCCAATGAAAATTTCATTGATGAAATTTCAGATAGGGTAAGAGAAAGTAAATAAAACGAAAAAAAATTTAGATCAGTAGGGATAATTTGTAATGGAATCAAGGCACCTACCAGGAAACTGAGAGTAAGTTTTTAGAATTTTTTTCCCCTAAGCTATTTTCACTTTTTACCTTTCTGTCCCGAGATCCACTTTTGGATCTGTTTATAGAATATTTTCTCAGGGGCTGTAATTCCTGCATAGTTAGAATGCTAGTTTTTTCAGGAGGTCAGAGATCTTTAGATTGCTTGCAGGAGGGCTTTTGTGTGTTAGGTACTGCCTATAATTAAATTTCAACCAGGAAAAGTTGAGAACAAAAATGAACAAAGAATTTCTTTAGCATCTTTAATTTGTTAACCTACCAAAAAAATATATTAAAGCCATGACTAATGAAGGAGGGAGGTTTGTCTGTTACCTTGAAAGAGTTCCCATTGTAATGGTAAAGAGTGGGCTTTGGGATCAATGCATGTAGGTTTGAGTTCTTGCTCAGCCACCTAGTATATTTGTAATCTTTGGCTTTACTTAACTGCTTAAATCTTATTTCCATATGTGTAAATTGGAGCAAGTAACTGAATCACAGGGTTGTTGAAAGGATTAAATAAAATGACATGTATAAAACACTGAGCCTAGTGCTTTACTATGGTAAGTGCTCAATAAATGAAAACCTTATAACCTTTACTGGTGAGCCTCAGTTTCCTTTTCTGTAAAATGTTGTTAATGGGTCCTATATCACAGAATAGCAGAGTGATTGTTAATAATTCTGGCTAATAATTATTAAGTATAATAAGCGTTCAATAAACATTATTTTGTAGCTATGATAATTAAATTCATAATCATGTATTCTATCATAATAGTGCTTATATTTAAAAATCAAAATAAAGTCTCAAAAATATTTCTAATCTTAATGTCATCATGTTTAGACAGTGAATATTTCAGTGTATTTAATACACTTTAAAAAATTAAGTTGCATTCTTTTTTTTTTTTAATTTTATTTATTCATTTTTGGCTGCGTTGGGTCTTCATTGCTACACAAGGGCTTTTCTCTAGTTGCGGTGAGCGGGGACTACTCTTCGTTGCAGTGCGTGGGCTTCTCATTGCGGTGGCTTCTCTTGTTGCAGAGCACAGGCTCTAGGCACACGGGCTTCAGTAGTTGTGGCACACGGGCTCAGTAGTTGTGGCTCATGGGCTCTAGAGCACAGGCTCAGTAGGTGTGGCACACGGGCTTAGTTGCTCCGAGGCATGTGGGATCTTCCCTGACCAGGGCTCGAACCCATATCCCCTGCATTGGCAGGCGGATTCTTAACCACTGTGCCACCAGGGAAGCCCTAAGTTGTATTCTTGACAGCAATTATTTCAGTTTTAATAAGTCCCTCAGTAGGACTTTATTTTCAGTTGGATCTAACTCTGTAAAAGTTGTCTCCTTGAATAGAGTTCTTTTATTTTTATACTCAGTGTACATTAGAGGTCAGTCAATAAATGAGAGTTAAATGAATTTTAAAAGTCATCAAGATAATCACCTATTAGAAACATAAAATCTAAGAACTGAATGGGATCTTTAAAAAACTAGGAATTGAAGTTCAGGGAAGTTAACACTTTTTTTCCATCAAATCTAGACTGACCCTGTGTTCTTTTTCTACTACATTCATCAGATGTGTGAATTTTTAAACTAAACAGTAATATTGAAATGGAACTTGTTAGTCATCTGAAAGTAAAATTTTTTCCAATTTTTCAAAGACAGTATAGAAAAGTATATTTAGGAGCTTTATACTAAGCCCAGGTAAGTTTTTATTACATCAATGAGATGACTGATATTTAACAGATTTTTGTCCTTAGGAACCAAGTAATTTATTTATAGATAGGTGAATTTTTTATCTTAGTTTGCATAATTATAAGTAGCAGAAATAATTTATTGAGTATTGACCCTGTACTAGGAACTGCACCAAGCTCTTTGCACACATTATTTTGTTTAATATAACGACCCTCTGAGGGAGATGCAGTATAATTGCCAACTTGCACATGAGAAAAACTAAAGCTCAGAGTAGTTAACTAATTTGACAAGTAAGTATGAAGCTGAAATTCAAACCCAGAGCATATGACTACAGAACACTGTCTTCAGCTATTTTATACATTTTTACTGATGAAACCCTCTCAGTTTTTGTTTTAAAAGTTAATGAAAAAATAATATATTTCTTGTCTACCCTAACTCCAACATTGTTCAGAGTATGGTAACTTAACCTAAAATTTCAAGATAATTTTGGAATTCATATACTATGATTTGTTATTGGCTTCAGTTTACAGACACTCTGTTTGCTCTTTTTTTTTTTTAACTGAAAGACTATTTTTTTCTGAAAGTTTTAGATTTATAGAAAAATTGAGCAGGTAATATAAAGATTTCTTCCTTCCTTTCTTCCATATTCCTTCTCCTACCTTCTCTCCCCTCCATCCTAGCATGCAGTTTTCTCTACTATTAACATTTTGTATTAGTGTGGTCCATTTTCTAAAAGTTAATGAACCAATACTGATACATTATTATGAACAGAAGTCCATAGTTTACACTAAGATTCACTCTTTGTGTTGTACAGGTTTATGGATTAATGTCATGTATTCATCATAACAGTATCATAAAGTATTATCTCATCACCATAAAAATCTCTTGCGCTTAACCTATATGAATTCCTACATCCCCAACTTCTGGCAACTACTGATCTTGATATTGTGTCTATAGTTTTGCCTTTTCAAGAATGTCATATATTTGGAATCATATAGTATGTAGCTTCTTTCACTTATCAGTATGCATTTAAGGTTTCTTCTTGTCTTTTTGTGCCTTCATAGCCTGTTTCTTTTTTTTTGTTTTTGGCTGCCCCTCACGGCCTGTGGGATCTTAGTTCCCTGACCAGGGTTCAAACCCAGGCCCACAGCAGTGTAAGCACTGAGTCCTAACCACTGGACCACCAGGGAATTCCCAAGCCTGTTTCTTTTTAATCACTGAATAATAATTCATTGTATGGATATACCACAGTTGTTTTACCCATTCACTCATTGAAGGACATCTTGGTTGCTTTCAAGTTTTGGCAATTGTGAATAAAGCTGCTATAACTATCCATGCAGTTTTTTGTGGAACATAAATTTGCCACTCATTGGGGTAAATATGTAGTAGTACAATTGCTGGATTGTATGGTATGCCTATGGTTAACTTTGTAAGAGACTGTCAAACTGTCTTCCAGATGGCTGTATGTACGGTTTTGTATCCCAAGCATCAATCAATGAGAGTTCCTGTTGTTCCACATATTTGGCAACATCTAATAGAGGTTTTTTTTCTTATATTATCCATTCTAATAGGTGTGTTATGATATCTCAGTGATGATTTAATTTGCAGTTTCCGTATGACATACAATGTTGAGCATCTTTTCATATGTGTAATTGCCATCTGTATATCTTCTTTGCTGCAGTGTATCTTCAGGTCTTTTGACCACTTTTTTTTTGTTTTTGTTTTTGCTGTACGCGGGCCTCTCACTGTTGTGGCCTCTCCTGTTGCAGAGCACAGGCTCGGACGCGCAGGCTCAGTGGCCATGGCTCATGGGCCTAGCCACTCCGCGGCATGTAGGATCTTCCCGGACCGGGGCACGAACCCGTGTCCCCAGCATCGGCAGGCGGACTCTCAACCACGGCGCTACCGGCGAAGCCCTGACCACTTTTTAAATTAGGTTTTTTTCTTATTGTTGAGTTTTATGAGTTCTTTGCATATTTTGGATACAAATCCTTCATCAGATACATGTTTTGCAAATATTTTCTCCGAGTTTGTGGCTTTTCTTCCCATACTTTTGATACTGTCTTTTGCAGAGCAGAAGTTTTAAATTTTAATGAAGTCTTGCTTATCAATAATCTCTTTCATGGATCATGCCTTTGGTATATTATACTTAAAACATCATGACTATACTCATGGTCCTCTAGGTTTTCTCCTATGTTGTCTTCTAGGAGTTCTATAGTTTTGCATCTTACATTTATGTCTATGATCCATTTTGAGTTAATATTTTTGAAGAACATAAGGTCTGTAT